TTCTTTCTTTCTTTCTTTCTTTCTTTCTTTCTTTCTTTCTTTCTTTCGGTTTTGATCATATTGGGTGCTTTGCCTTTCTTGTTAAATCTATCCCTAGATGTTTTTATGTATAATTTTTGTAAGTGGTTGGGTGAAGTGTTCTATAAATATTAGATTAAATTGGTTGATAGTATTGTTTGAGTCTGTGCCCTTACTGATTTTCTTTCTACTTCTCTCTCAGCTACCGAGAGAAGGATATTGATCATAATTGTGAATTTGTCTATTTCTTGTTGCATTTCTATTGGTTTTTACTTAGTGTATTTTGAAGCTTTGTTATTAGATACAAAAGTATTTAGAATTATTAGGTCCTGTTGCTAAAGTGATTCCTGTGTTACTATGACCTGACTCTTCATTGCTGGGAATATTCTTTGATCTGAAATATATTTTGTGTGATGAAAATGCCACCATCTAACTTCCTTCTCCTGGCATCAGCATGGTGCACCTTTGCATGCTAGTTCTGACTTTCTGTTAAGGTGGATCACTGCAGGCAGGATGGCTGGGTCTTGACTCCATCTACTGACCCTCCAACCCTTTGTGTTTCAGTCTTCAGTGTCTTTATGAGGAGCCACGATAGGCTCATGCAGGCACCGTCCAGACCTCCTGTTTGTGCTGACATGGTCTGGGTAGCTTGACTGTCCCCCTCTCAGCCATGCGGGTTTTCTGCAGCTTGAGATCTAAGAGGTGAGGTGTGAGGGATGGTGCTGTGGGTGCAGCCGCTCTGGGCTCTGACTGCCACCTGTAGCTTCACGAACCATCTGGAGGAGGCTTTCTCTGTTTCCCTGAGGATTAGTGTGATTCCTGTGATGTCTTATCTTGGGTTTCATGTGTTTTCCTCCCTCTGGACATGGCTGGGGGCCTCGAGCTCACTCTCTGAGGGTCAGCGAGGTTGTTACCTCCCTCCAGAGCTACAGTTTTGGGTGGGGCCCTGTGTGCCTCCTCTAGCATCTCTGCTGGTGGCTTGTCCACGGTCTCTCTTGATGGATAGTTGGCCAAGTTGTATCTGATGGGGAATTTGGTGGTTCCTCCTGTCTCATGTGGGAACAGTGGTCAGGAGGCTAATGTCTGCACCATCTCCTCAGTGATTCACCCCTGCTTCTCTGCTCTCCTGGCTCTTGGGGAGGTGAAGGGAGAATCTCTAGGCAGCACCACAGTGAACTGAAGGATTCTAGAAACTTCCATCTCATTCCTTCACTGTTTTATTTTTGTCTAGTGGCGTATTTGTGTCTTTTGATTTTTTTTGTCTTTTGTTTTCTCTATGTTGCTCATATTTTTAGGCATGGGGTGGTGGGGTCAAGAGGGTTAGCTCAGTCTCTGATCTTCCTTCTTAAACCAGAGCTCAGGATAGCTCAGATTGTAAGCAGTGATTCCGAATGTGTATTTCCTCTAGAAACTTCACTTGGAAATGTTGGCAGACCAGCCACGAACAACTAAATACCACAATGTTATCCTGCAGAATAAAGAATCCCTGAAAGATAAAGTGATTCTGGATGTCGGCTGTGGGACTGGGATCATCAGCCTCTTCTGTGCACATCATGCGCAGCCCAAAGCAGTGAGTAGGAGGCAGCTGTCCCTTCAGCGGCTTGTGAGCTGAGTCTTGGTGTGGTCCCGTGTGCAAAGGCCCTGTGTCGGTGAAACAGGCAGTGTGCTCTGGCAGGCTGAGCCTATTGGACGTTGTGATGTTGGCGTAATGAGTCACAAACAGCACAGAGTAGAAGAGGAGAGAATAGAAAATATCTGAGTGAGTTGCATGTTGTGGGATATTTTTTGGTAAAATGTTTATTTCAGTTGAATAGAGACATATGTGTCCCTGTGTTGGGGCTGAGCCACTGGTGTAGGTCACTGTCCAAGTGACATCCCTGCACTGAGCAGGGACCACCTGGCAGGGACAAAACAGACCACTCTCCGTGACACAAGGTGGCTTCCCTTCGTCCTCTTCCCTTTAAAGTATGCGGGGTGGGCCGTGCAGAGCTGAAGCCCTGCGGTGGCCCCCGACACAGGTGGATGAAACTCCTAGTTTATAAGTGGAGCTGTGGTGCAGTGACCACTGGAGTTCAGGTGCTGTCAGAACCGAGACGTATGCACACATGACCTTCCTCTGACAACCTGGATTTGAAATGGTCTCAGCCACTGATATCCATAAAGTCTGACTCTTCTCAGGCCATTACTGAGAAGCTCCTGCATCAGTTTTCAGTTATGGGTTGTGTTGCTGCGTGTGTGGGAGCTGGGCCACTGGGTCGCACCCGGGGAGGGCCCCTGCGGTGGGTGCCCAGTATGGGTGTAGGGCCTTCCCCTCACCTGCAGCCCCCTGTCTGTTTTAGGCAGGAGGTGGAGTGAAGGTTAGAGGTGGCTCCCTTGCCAGGGCTCCATCTGTTGGAGATAGCACGGTGTGGCCCAGCTGCCATTCCTGCTGTCCGGCACTGTCGCTTCTGTCTGTCCTTGTTTTCCCTGATGCCGACTCTGACTCAGCTGAAGCAATGGGCTCAGGGAGAGCAGATGACAGGCCGCTTTGCAGGGTGGGACATGCACTGATGGCACTTCTCCCATATGCAGGTGTATGCAGTGGAGGCCAGTGAGATGGCCCAGCACACAGGGCAACTGGTCATGCAGAATGGCTTCGCCGACATCATCACTGTGTTCCAGCAGAAGGTGGAGGATGTGGTGTTGCCGGAGAAGGTGGATGTGCTGGTATCCGAGTGGATGGGGACCTGCCTTCTGGTAAGGGGCACTGGGACATTCGGGTGGCTGTGGATTGCACCAGGGAAGTGCAGATTCCAAGCAGGGGACATGGACTGGGTCCAGAGCGGCTGTTGTGAGCAGAGCTTCTAGGGGAGAGCTGCAGCTGTTTCATGTTAAAGTGAATCCACCTGGTGCCTTTCCTCTGCTTAGTGCAGGACAGCCTCGAGGCCACAAAATCCATCACTTGTGACAACGGGGCAGGGAGACCTTGAAGGCGATATGCTAAGTGAAATAAGTCAGAGGCATACTGTATGATCTCACTTACATGTGGAATCTGAAAACAACAACAACACAAAACTCACCCACCAAACTCCTAGAAAAAGAGCAAATTTGTGGTTAATGGGGAAAAAGGGGGTTGGGGAGAAAGAATTGGAAGACCATGGTCAAAAGGTACAGACTTCGGGTACACGAAAATGAGCAGTGGGGTCACGATGTCTAGGGTGGTGACTACAGTGACATACAGGACAGACGTTAAGAGTGAACAGTTGACCCTTGAACAATGTGGGTTTGAACCATGTAGGCCCACTTACACATGGAATTTTTTTTAATTAAAGAACATTTTTTAATGTTTATTTATTTTTGAGAGAGAGATAGAGCATGAGTGGGAGAGGGGCAGAGAGAGAGGAAGACACAAAATCTGAAGCAGCCTCCAGGCTTTGAGCTGTCAGCACAGAGCCCGACGTGGGGCTCGAACTCATGGACTGTGAGATCATGACCTGAGCCGAAGTCGGACGCTCAGCCAACTGAGCCCCCCAGGTGCCCAAAGTGATAAATACTAACTAAACTTTTATGGTAATCATTTCACAATACATGTAAATCAAGTCATTGTGCTGTACATCCTGAATTTGTAGTTATCTTAGAGAAACTTGGTGACAGGTTGGTGGTTTTTTAAAAACACAAAAAAGCATGTACAATATGATTCCAATTTTTTTCTAAGTTTATTTATTTATTTTTGAGAGAGAGAGCATGAGCACGGGGGGGGGGGGAGGGGCAAAAAGAGAGGGAGAGAGAGAATCCCAAGCAGGCTCTGCACTGTCAGCACAGAGCCTGATGTGGGGCTCGAACTCACGAACCATGAGATCATAACCGGAGCCGAAATAAAGAATCAGATGCTTAGTCAAATGAGCCACCCAGGTGCCCCTAGTTTTGTTTTTAAAAACTGTACATGGCAAGAGTCCTGGGTAGCTCAGTTGTTTAGGCATCTGACTTTGGCTCAGGTCATGATCTTGCAGTTCCTGAGTTCGAGCCCTGCATTGGGCTTTCTGCTGTCAGTGGGGAGCCCACTTTGGATCCTCTGTCCCACTTTCTCTCTGCCCCTCCCCTGCTCGTGCTCTCTTTCTCTCAAAAATAAATAAAAAACATTAAAAAAAATTCATAGGTAGCAATGACCTAGCCGGCTGCAGGTAGGATGTTCCAGGTATGGTGGGGAAAGCACACCCCACCCTGTGTGTCCCAGTGAGTGCAGCTGTGGATCTAGGACAGCATGCAGGGAGAAGCTATTTGAGGACTTTGAAAAGCATATAGTAGCTGGAAGGTTGAGAAAGAAGGCCAGAACTTGAAGTACACCGACCTGGTCTTAAGTTTATTGTTATTCCTCCTGTGGCTCTGTCTCCATACGTAACTTTAGTAATTTAGATGAAAAAGACCAATTCTTTTGAAAAGTGCAAACTTCTACAACTAACCCACAGTGAGGTAGATAACTTGAATAATCAAGTAAATACTAACAATATTAATTTATAGTTGAAAACCTTCTGTGAAGAGAAATCTGTAGGCCTAAATTATTTCACTGGTGAAATCTACAAACACATTTAAGGAAGAAATAACACCAGATCTGAGCAATGTCTTTCAGAAAATGGAAGAGGTGAGACACTTCCTAGCTCATTTGGTGAGACTGACATTACCCTAATACCAAACCCAAACCAAAAAGAACTCATGTTCATAAATGCAAAAATCCTCAAAAATATTAGCAAGTATAATCCTGCAATACATAAAAGGAATAACACTACAACAAAGAAGAGATTATCTTTGGAATTCAAGGCTGAGTAATTTACCATATTAACAGTCTACAAAAGAAAAATCACATGATGCTATCAACACACAAAAAATTTGACAACATTCAAAATAGTTTTAAAGTTTCTATTGAGATTTCTTATTTGATCTGTGTGGTTTTTTTTCAGAAGTGTTTAATTTCCCAAGTATTTTTTGATTTTCCAGCTATCTTTCTGTTATTGATTTCTAGTTTAATTCCATTGTGGTCTTGAGAGTAGACTTTGTATGACTTCTGTTCTTTTAAATTTGTTGAGATGTGTTTTATGGCCCAGAATGTGGTCTGTCTTGGTGAGTGCTCCACGTGAACTTGAGAGAAAAGTGTATTCTGCTGTTGGATGGAGTGGTCTATAGATGTGCATTGGATCTAGCAGATAAATGATGTTGAGTTCAACTATGTCCTTACTGATTTTCTGCCTGCTGGATCTGTCCTTTTCTGATAGAGGGATGTTGAAGTCTCCAACTATGATGGTGGATTCATCTGTTTTCTCTTGCAGTCCTATTTGTTTTTACCTCACACAGTTTAATGCTCTATTGTTAGGTATATACATGGTAAGGACTGTTATATCTTCTTGGAGAATTGACCCCTTTATCATGATGTTATGCCCCTGTTTATCTTTGATAACTTCCTTCCTCTGAAAGCTGCTCTGAAATTAACATAGCTACTCCTGCTTTCTTCTGATTAGTGTTAGCATCGTCTATCTTCCTCCATCCACTTAACTTTTAGTTTATAAGTGTCAGTATATTTAAAGTAGGTTTCTTGTAGACAACACTTAGTTGGGTATTAGTTTTTGATCCACTCTGACAATCTTTGTTTTTTAATTGGTATATGTAGACCACTGACATTCAAGTGGTTATTAATATAGTTGGATTAATACATCTACCATATTTGTTACTGTGGTCTATTTGTTATTCTTGTTCCTTGTTCCTGTTTTTTTCTTCTACTCTTTTTCTTCTATGATTTTTCTTTAAGCAAATAAAGTTAGGTAATTTAATGAGCATAAATTAAGGGTGAATTAATTTATTTTTTTAAATTTTTTTTTCAACGTTTATTTATTTATTTGGGACAGAGAGAGAGCATGAACGGGGGAGGGGCAGAGAGAGAGGGAGACACAGAATCGGAAGCAGGCTCCAGGCTCCGAGCCATCAGCCCAGAGCCCGACGCCGGGCTCGAACTCACGGACCGCGAGATCGTGACCTGGCTGAAGTCGGACGCTTAACCGACTGCGCCACCCAGGCGCCCCAAGGGTGAATTAATTTAATGCTCAGAGGTATATTGGTTTAGAACCTGACATGAACATGCTGATATTGTAAACTTAAGAATCATATTTTTGTATGGAGAACTATCTATCATGCTAATGGTCAACAAAAGAAAGCTGGAGTAGCCATACTTATATCAGACAATCTAGACTTTAAAAATAAAGACTGTATCAAGAGATGCAGAAGGGCGTTATATCATAATCAACGAGTCTATCCACCAAGAAGACCTAATAATTGTAAACATTTATGTGCCAAACGTGGAAGCACCCAAATATGTAAATCAATCACAAACATAAAGAAACTCATTGATAGTAATACCATAATAGTAGGAGACTTCACCATCCCACTCACAGCAATGGACAGATCATCTAATCAAAAAATCAACAAGGAGGGGCGCCTGGGTGGCGCAGTCGGTTAAGCGTCCGACTTCAGCCAGGTCACGATCTCGCGGTCCGTGAGTTCGAGCCCGGCTTCGGGCTCTGGGCTGATGGCTCAGAGCCTGGAGCCTGTTTCCGATTCTGTGTCTCCCTCTCTCTCTGCCCCTCCCCCGTTCATGCTGTGTCTCTCTCTGTCCCAAAAATAAATAAACATTGAAAAAAAAAATCAACAAGGAAACAATGGCTTTGAATGACACACTGGACCAGATGGACTTAACAGATATATTCAGAACATTTCATCCTAAAGCAGCAGAATGTACATTCTTCTCCAGTGCACATGGAACGTTCTCCAGAATAGACCATATACTGGGACACAAATCAGCCCTAAGTAAGTTCAAAAAGACCGAGATCATACCGTGCAAATTTTCAGACCACAATGCTATGAAACTTGAAATCAACCACATGAAAAAATTTGGAAAGGTAACAATACTTGGAGGCTGAAGAACATGCTACTAAAGAATGAAGGGGCTAACCAAGCACTTAAGGAGGAAATTAAAATATATGGAAGTCAATGAAAATGATAACACCACAACCCAAAACCTCTGGGACGCAGCAAAGGTGGTCATAAGATGAAAGTATATAGCATTCTAGGCCTTCCTAAAGAAGGAAGAAAGATCTCAGATACACAACCTAACCTTATGCCTTAAGGAGCTGGAAAAAGAACGGCAAATAAAACCCAAAACCAGCAGAAGACAGGAAATAATAAAGATTAGAGCGGAAATTAATGCTATCAAAACCAAAAAACAGTAGATCAATGAAACCAGAAGCTGGTTCTTTGAAATAATTAACAGAATTGATAAACCACTAGCTGGTTTGATCAAAAAGATTCATATTTTTGTAAATTGATGGCGTATTCACTTTGTAGACCATTTCCAATTTATAAAAATATTTTTCAGTTGTAATCTCTCTTGAAGCTCACTTTATCTGTAATCTGTTATCTATCTTCACTTGTATTAAGGTATAAAATTATAAGATATTTAAAGTATGCAATATGACTATTTGATAGCTGTATACATTATCAATAGCTTCCCCCCGTTGAGTTAACCCATTCATCACTCACAATAATGGTGTCATCAGTTATAGTCACCATGGTATATAATAGATATTCAGACCTTATTCATTTTATAATTGACAGTTTGTAGCTTTTTACCAGTGTCTCTCTATTTTCCTCACCCCTGAGCTCCTGGTAACCACTTTTATACTCTCTGTTTCTATGAGTTCAACTTTGAAAAACTT